TATGGCAAACCATGTTGCCATACAATTGGAAAGTATGGCAAGCCATGATGCCATACAATTGGAAAGTATGGCAAGCCATGTTGCTATATACAGTAATTGCATTGCCGGCCGCGCGCATCCACTGACGCAATCAAAAGCCCGACACTGACCCGGCCCGCCCATCCAGCACATTTTTACGGCCCGGCCCGGGTTAGACTTTAGGCCCGGGTTAGAAATGACAGCTCTAGCTGAGAGTCATTTCCAACACATACTCTGAGCGCAAACAGATCATACGAGGAATCCTAACATCGCAGGACATTCAAGGTTTGATCAAATCTCCTACAACTTTCTCATTTCTCCACGAGGTGGATTGAGTGCAGAGCTCTGGTATAAAAGGCGGTGGGCGACACGCGTTCCTTCAGACCTCTTGTTGTCTCGTCGTCATGACGATGTTTTCACAGAGCAGCCAGAGTCTGTTTTCTTTTTGTAAGACCAACCGAACGTTGCATCAGTGTTTATGTTTCTTCAGACCAGACTTTTACCCGTTAACATCCCTGCTCTTCCCGTCACCCAGGGCATGTTTAAGATCTACCCGCTGCCTGATGACCCCTCGGCTCCCGCCCCCCACAGACGCTTCAGGAAGCTGCCCCCCAACGGCATCGAGGAGTGTTTGGTTCGGGTCTACGTCGTCCAGGCTCAGGGCCTGCAGCCCAAAGACGCCAACGGGAAGGTACCAAGATAACGCCCGACTCCAGATCCATATCAGAGTTTATTTGTTTGTTTATTTGTTTACAAAAACTGGATCTGCTGCAACTTGAAGAGATTTTGTTTTGAAGTGGTTTCATTTGTCTTTTCAGTGCGACCCTTACGTGAAGATCACTTTGGGGAAAAAGACCCTCAACGATCATGAAAGCTACGTCCCGTGCACTCTGGACCCCGTCTTCGGAAAGTACGAACCGTCTTTGTCTCCGCGCAATCTATCCAAACCAGTTAAAGGGATATTCCCAACATTTCTTACCTGTTGTCCAAACTGGAGCCAAAATACTCCAAAGGTTAACGCAGACGATGGTTCTTTGTGTTTTTTAACTTTCAGCCAGAAACACGTTCATGCTCTGTTCTGGACAGAGAACACCGGACTTTTACATTTTTGGAAAATATCACTGTTTAATATTTTTAAAGTTTTAGGCCAGTTTCTGATTTTAACATGTCCAGAAAGGTCAGCGCGAGAGGTCACATGACCCAGCGTGGCGAGCAAAATTTTAGAATGATTAAACCCTGTCTGTTAGCAAAATATCATTAACTTTTGGAGTTGACAGGATTTTAAATGGCCGCTGTAACTAATCAACCATGGGAGACACCAAAATGGCTACAGCTTTGTCAATTTTACATTTATTGAGCTGAACCATGGTGTGGTAGTAGCTGAGAGTCATCCATGCTTACTTTGAGCTCAAGATGCTAGTGTTAACCCTGTCCGTCTGTTAGCAAAATATCTTACGACTCATTGGACAGACTTGGACGATCGGAAGGTCGCCGGCCCAACTCCCCGCACCGACAACATCAAAATGTGGGTGGGAACGGTGAAACAGCCGCACCTGCTGTTGGATAAATAAATTTCCTGTTATAAGCCACTCTGCGGACAAGACTTTTAACCGGTCTGTAGTTGGGAGGGCAGACGTCACGATAAGACCTTCACAGATGTACAAAGTTACAGGTTCAGAGCCTCGTCAGTGAGAGTCTGCACCGGACAGTGAGGCAGGAAGTGTTTTTATAATCCCGATCAGACAGGGGCTTCACAGATTACAGACTCGGAGTTATCAGGTGCGCCTGCAGGCTCCTCTCTGAGGGGAAGAACAACTCTTTAACATCAGTTAGTGACAAACATCCATAAACTTTTACATAAATTCCCACTACACCTGTCTCCACCCTCATTTGCTCCACTCTGAGCCCTTGAGCAAGGCTCTTAACCCCACCGTCTGCTCCCCCGGGCACCCTAGACGGCAGCTCTCTGCTCCACGCAGAGGGCTGCGGTAGCTCGGTGGCTGTGGTTGTGTCAGGACATCCGGCGCAAAAACAATCTCCAAGTCTTCATGTGAGTGAATTCTCTGTGGCGACGCCTGAAGAAGGAGCAGCCGAAAGAAAATTAAGGTTTTCTTGTAATCCCCGTTCAAGTCCGGTCTCTGGACTCTGGACTCAGGTGGTCGTCTGGATCTTATTCCTCCTTTTCTGACCTAAAACTTATCAAAGTCATTTTCATATTCCCTTTATCGATTTGGAGGCAGCTTTAATACAGTTTGTGTATAAAATCGTACATTTTAGGCACATTTAGACACTAAGTCTTGTTTTTAACATTTAGTCCAACAAAATGCTGTAAATAAACTCAAATCATCAAATCCGACAAAATTAAAAGTTTCATTACAGTTATTATCGTTTATTCACCCGCCTGATCTTTGACCTTTGACCTCCCACACGGTTCTGTGACGGTACTTCCAGGTCCACCGCTGAACTCCAGCGGGTTCTGGGTTCATGGGATCTTGTTTGCAGCCCAGAGACGTGACTCGGATCCAGAACCATCTTTTCCATGAGCACATGAAGCCCCTGAAGCTGTGACGACATCAGTCACATCAGATCCATCTTCTGCTCCTTCTCCGGTCTCTGCAGGACCTCAGTTCCTCCTCAGTTCCTCCTGTTTGGTTTTAGACCAGTAGGGGGGGCTGCACTCCACCAGATCCCAGCTCAGAACCGAGACCAGATCAGTCCCACATCGTCACTGAAACCAGCTTTGTGCCGGAGAGGAGAGACATTTAAAGATTTCTCCTTTTTCAGGATAAAGAACGTTAAAATGAAGGTGCAGAGTCAAATAAAAACTCCTGATTCTCTCAGCAGGACACGGATCAGAACCAAAATGTTCTGGAAAAATTCTGAAACGTGCTGAAGCTTGAAAATCCAAAAAATAAGGGTTGCTCTGCAAATCTCAATTTTCTGCCCAAAGGCAGGATGAACACTGAAACCTGCTGAGGAAGATCGTTAGTCCAGCTATATATAGGATTATGCTAACATAAGCAGAATATAAGCTAAAATGAGCAAAACAGAAGCTAAAATAAACAGAACAGAAGCTAAAATAAGCAGAACAGAAGCTCAGATAAGCAGAATATAAGCTAAAATAAGCAAAACAGAAGCTAAAATAAGCAAAACAGAAGCTAAAATAAGCAAAACAGAAGCTAAAATAAGCAGAACAGAAGCTAAAATGAGCAAAACAGAAACTAAAATGGGCAGAACAGAAGCTAAAATAAGCAGAACAGAAGCTAAAATGAGCAAAACAGAAGCTTAAATAAGCAGAACAGAAGCTCATATAAGCAGAATATACGCTAAAATGAGCAGAACAGAAGCTAAAATAAGTAGAACGTAGGATAAAATTAAATATTTTGTTTGGATTTTTCCAAAGTTGAGGGAGGAGATGTGACACAAGAAGTGAGAACTGTTCTTTATTATTTAAATCATGTTTGGGAAATAAAAGGAGCGTACCAAAAGTTCATTGTTCAACACAACCTTCAGAAAATGGCTGAACACGTTTTGTTGCATCAAACTAAACTCATGTTGCAAAATAAATCTTGACGTGTGACGTTTTTCTCTACAATCACGTCCCGTTCAGCCGAGCTGGAAGCAGTGACTCTGACCCGTCGTTTGTCCTCAGGATGTTCGAGCTCACCTGCTCCCTCCCTCTGGAGAAGGACCTGCGGGTGATGCTCTACGACCACGACGTGCTCACCAAAGACGAGAAGATCGGCGAGACCGTGATCGACCTGGAGAACCGCTTCCTGTCCAAACACGGAGCCCTGTGCGGCCTGCCGCAGACCTACTGCGCGTGAGCGAACGCACCCACCTGACGGTCCTGTCCGTGGTTCCAGGGTGCAGTGAACTCACGTGAATGTCCTGCATTAGGTCGGGGGTGAACCAGTGGCGGGACCAGCTGACGCCCAGGCAGCTGCTGAACAGACTGTGTGAGCGGCGAAACCTGAAGAAACCCGTGTATGACGAGGACACGGTCTGCTTCAGAGGACAGAGATACACGGCTGCAGACCTCGGTGAGTTACAAACGCCCAGAAATCAACAACCGAAGTACTTCTGATTTCATTACTCACTCGTTTTAAAGGGTTCATGTTACAATGCCAGCGACTCATTATGGTCACCGTGGTAACCACATGTTTGTCACAGATTCAGAGTAGAAAATTTAAGATGGCTTAAAAGTTGGTGACATCACCAAGTTAAGGTTGAGTATTCCTAATACACTCTTAATATATAATAACAGTATGATACAATATAATACTATTCAGTACAATATGATAGAAATAGTAAAATACAACGCAATACAATAAAATATAGTACGATATGATAGTACGGTGTGATACAATATAAAACAATACAGTCAAATTTGGTTCATTAAATGTATTATAAAACAATATTGTACAATACAATATGATCATTTACTGTACAATATGATAAAGTACTGTACAATATGATACAGTACAGTGTGATACATTGCATTATGATACAATACAGTATTGTACAAAACAATACAATGTAATATAATACAGTACTGTGCAATGCAATTCAATACTATACAGTAAATACAATACAAAAAAATTAAAGTACAATTTGCTACAGTACAATACAGCACAATACAATAGAGTACAATACAATATAATATAATATGATACAGTACAATACAATATGAAACAATACGATACAATACGATACAATACGATACGATACAGTACAATACAATATGAAACAATACAATACAATACAGTGCAATACGATACAGTACAATACAATACAAAAAAATTAAAGTACAATTTGCTACAGTACAATACAGCACAATACAATAGATTACAATACAATATAATATAATATGATACAGTACAATACAATATGAAACAATACGATACAATACGATACAGTACAATACGATACAGTACAATACAATATGAAACAATACAATACGATACAGTACAATACAATATGAAACAATACAATACGATACAGTGCAATACGATATAGTACAATACAATACAAAAAAAATTAAAGTACAATTTGATACAGTACAATACAGCACAATACAATAGAGTACAATACAATATAATATGATATAGTACAATATAATACAGTAGGATACAATATTATAAAGTACAGTACAATATGATATGGTGTGATAGAATACAGTACAAAACAATACAATACAATATCATCCATAAGAATACAATATAGTACCATACGATACCATACAATAATTCAAAGATCAATAAACATGATATATGTATGATGGAGTAAATACAAAACTGTACAATAAAATTAAAGCAGTACAACACAAGACTTGCTCTCGTGAAAGACGGACGTCTTTTCTTCCCTCCCCGTCCTCCTCCTTTTTTTTGCTCTCTGTCCATTTCTCGGAGCTCCTATTTACACATCTTCTGAAACAAAAACTTCCTGGGATATGTGTAAACTAAGGAAAAGCTCTGTCTACAATCGTGTCCTGACAGGACAAGATGTGAAGAGATATTTTTTTGTAATACCACTATCCTATCCTCATGGCCTTTTCCCTTTTTCTATCTAAAAAGTATTCTGATAAAGGATAAGGGGCTGCGCTCTCAGGGGCAGCAGCAACGTGTACTCCGCCCATCTTTCGGACGACTGTACGCACATAATCTCACTGTATTTCAGTACAATGATAGTAAAACTGATTCTGACAATGTAATAAGATACATTTCAAAGTTGTGCAACAGAATATAATATGAGACTTGTACAGTAAATACAACGATACATTGTGGTACAATATGTATTGATACTAAGGTTTGTGGCATTGCCAACTGTCGGTAAAATATTTGTTGTAGCAGATTTGAAAATTAAATGATTATGTATTTTATGGTTAATTTTATTTTGAATAAAGTGAACATTTTTGAAAAGTGTAAACGCTTCACAAGCCGAAAGTCAGAGCACAATATTCCTTGAGTAAAAGTTTTTGACATAAGAACGACTAAAACTGCACAAACTGTGCAGAAGTGGAAACACGGGCACGTTGAAGGGGGGGGGGGTGGACGGTGGAACCACCCGAGGAGCAACGAGAAAAATATCGAGGATTCATTTCTGAACGCAGTCCTTCGCATCGAGAGGTCATGGTTGTCATTTTGGGGATCTATGGCACCGTCGTGTGTATTTGTTGACCAACATCAACATCGTGGTCGTCTCTCGGTTAGCGAGGAGCGACGCCACGTTCTCTTTCCACGGTTACCGTGCGTCAGCTCGCTGCCCGTCGAACAGGGTTGTAAGATGACTCCTTGCTTCCTTCCTTCCTTTAGCCCTCCATCCTTTTCCTTTCCTTTTTCCTCATCTTTCTGTCTTCTTTCATGTTTTTCATTTTCTTTTATCCGTTTCTCGGGTTTTGTCTCCGTCTCCTGAACTCCTGTTTAATCGCCTCATCATCCTTCACTCAGTCTTTTTCTTCTTCCTTTTACCACCTTCTTTTCTTCCTCTGCTTTTTTCAGCTCTCAAAGTTTGTTAGTTTAATCTACTGGCTATGAGTCAACGTACAAGTTGGTGTGGTATTAGACAGCTACTTAAGTTAATCAGCTGATTAACTTTAGAGTCAACCCGATATAAAATGGCCACCACAACCAACAGACCTTTGGAAACACTAAAATGACCGCGGCTCAGTCAGTTTTACAGATATCAAGCTCAAATTCAGTGTAGTCGTAGCCGACTGTTGTCCCCAACACAAACTTTGATACTTCGAGCAACAACTTTTAATATCTTGGCATTGACTGTTGGAATCAACTTTGTTAGTCAAATATCTCCAGAACCAGCAGATGGATGTCAAACTATTAGAAAGAAATTGTTTGTCTATTAATGTTTGGTGTCAGCCCAATTTAAGATAGCCAACACAAAAATATGTATATCTTGGTCTAATTTACAGTTTTTGAGCTAAAATTTGGCGTGGTGGTAGCAGAGAGTTATCTCTAATGCATACTTTGAGCACCTACACATTTTGGTTTGAAAGTGGCTGTGACACTGTCCCCTCTCATCTTAAGATGATCTTAGTTTGAAACTCTGGCACGAAGGCAGCGGGTGATGCATTTCTTCGAGGAACGTTAGGTCTTTCGTTTCTTTTTGTTGTCCCGTCGCGGAGCGAAAAGGAGGAACTGGAAACAGCCTGTCCATCCGTGCAGGTTGCGATTGTGATAACTTGAAAAATAAGTGAGGCGCCAACTTCCATTTTGGTGTTTGGCTACATCTAAGCGTAAGAAAGGTTCCTCTTGAAAATTGGGGTGCAAAATATTTGCATATATGCAAATCTTGTGAGCTAGATCTTCATAAATAAGCAACGGGGCAACATAGTTTTTGGTGTGGCTGCATTTAGGTGTAAGACATGTTCCTTTGGAAAATGGGGTTGCCACATCAAAATTCAAGATGCCACCATACCACCTTAACTGAGTCGGAAAAGGGTAGAGTTCCCTCTCCGGGTCAGGGAGGAGGTCCTACCCCAAGTGGAGGAGTTCAAGTATCTTGGGGTCTTGTTCACGAATGAGGGAAAAATGGAGCGTGAGATCGATAGGCGGATAGGTGCAGCGTCTGCAGTGAAGCGGGCGCTGTACCGGTCTGTCGTGGTGAAGAGAGAGCTGAGTCAAAAGGCGAAGCTCTCAATTTACTGATCGATCTACGTTCCTACCCTCATCTATGGTCACGAGCTTTGGGTTGTGACCGAAAGAACGAGCTCTCGGATACAAGCGGTCGAAATGAGTTTTCTCCACAGGGTGTCTGGGCTCTCCCTTAGAGACAGGGTGAGAAGCTCGATCATCCGGGAGGGACTCAGAGTAGAGTCGCTGCTTCTCCACATCGAGAGGAGCCAATTGAGGTGGCTTGGGCATCTGGTTAGGATGCCTCCTGGACACCTCCCTGGTGAGGTGTTCCGGACACGTCCCACCGGGAGGAGGCCCAGAGGAAGACCCAGGACACGCTGGAGGGACTATGTTTCTCGGCTGGCCTGGGAACGCCTCGGGATTCCCCCAGAAGAGCTGGCCCAAGTGGCTGGGGAGAGGGAAGTCTGGGCCTCCCTACTTAGGCTGCTACCCCCGCGACCCGACCCCGGATAAGCGGAAGAAAATGGATGGATGGATGGCCCATACCACCATAAAATTCTTACATAAACCAGCCACCCCAATCATTTGAGGAACTTTTGCTCTCTAGTTTTTATATTGCTTAAAAGTATAGTTTCCTCAAATGATTGGGATGGTCGTTAGACTGGCTGAAGGTTAATCTAAGGTGGCCAAAGCCACAAATGACCACCCCCTGGTTCCGTCATTGCACCTGGTGGTGGATAAAACCGCTCTCTTCACTCACCAGGATCTGTCACTCTGAGCCACCTCTGGTCTTCTCCACAGTTGAACTCCTACACACTTGAACATCTTGCACCAGAAACATTAAGGTTTTCTTGCATTCCCTGTTCAGTTCCAGTCCATAAAAACACTCCTCTCCAAAACTACAAATATTCACAAATTCTGCAGCAACAAGGGACATTGGTGCACCACTTGTTTCCTCTCCTTTTCCCCACACCTCGCTCTCTTTTTCTCCTCACTCTTTCCATCCTCTCCGGTCTTCGATGACTTGGACTTTTTGGTCATAAACTCCTGACTTTAACCCAAACCCTTCAAGTTTGAATTTTTCTTGGACGCGCCACAGAGTTTCCTCCTCGGGTTGTGATACAGAGACCAACAAACAGTAAAACGTGTGGTGGTGTGTGAAGAATTAGTCCTGTGTGAACGGCTGTCCTCCCACGGATTTCCATTCTCTGCTCCGAGAGCTTTAACGGCTTTTTAAAGAGCTCCACGGCCTCAGTTTAAACCCTGACTGTGTGCGTTTGTGTTTTCAGAGGACAAACATGTGTCCAAACGTTACCTCGGCCCGATTAAAGAGAGACTGTCCCTTCACATATTAAGGAAAATGGGTCTGGTACCAGAACACGTAGAGACCAGAGCCCTTTACAGCCCTCTGCAGCCTGACATCGAGCAGGTAACACAAACATTCATACTTCATCCATTTTGTCAAACTTTTAATTATTTTAGAAGGATCTAGTTGGAACCACAGACCTTATTTGATAAATAATTACTTCAGCTATAAAAACAAGACTGTAAAAATACTGTAGACTGTTTAGATTTAATGAGTTTTAAGAATGAATGGCACACGGACATTGCTATTTTATTTATGCTGCAATGCATTCTGGTTAAATGTCGTAGACAATTTGCTGCAGTGCAAACTTCATTCAGCTTGAATGTTAATCTTAGACATGATCTGATGTTTATTCCTTTAATTTGACCCAATGTACATTGACAGAGAAGAGATGCAGAAATTACCCTGCTTTCATGTTAGCTCCAGAACTAATATACATGAAATTAGCTCCGGAGATAGTAGCCTTAGCACCGAAGTAGCGTTAGCTTCAGAACTAATATCTATGACATTAGTTCTGGAACAAGTAACTTTAGCTCCAGAACTAGTAGCTTTAGTTCCGGATCTAGTAGCATTAGCTCCAGAGCTATTAAATATTATGTTAGCTTTGGAGCTAGTAGCGTTAGCTCCAAAGCTAGTAGTGTTAGCACCGAAGATGGTAGCGTAAGCTCCAGAAATAATATCTATGACATTAGTTCTGGAACAAGTAGCTTTAGCTCCAGAACTAGTAGCTTTAGTTTCGGAGTTAGTAGCATTAGCTCCAGAGCTATTAAATATCGCTTTAGTCCCGTACCTAATAGTGTTAGCTCCAGAATTAGTAGCCTTAGCACCGGAGATGGTAGCGTAAGCTCCATAACTAATATTTATGACATTAGTTCTGGAACAAGTAGCTTTAACTCCAGAGCTAGTAGCTTTAGCTTTGGAGCTAGTAGCAATAGCGCTGGATCTAGTAGCATTAGTTCCAGAGCTATTAAATATCATGTTAGCTCCGTACCTAGTAGCGTTAGCTCCAGAGCTAGTAGCGTTAGCTCCGGAGATAGTAGTGTAAGCTCCAGAACTGATAATAATAATAATAATAATAATAATAACTTTTATTTATAATGCACTTTACATTCACAACGGATCTCGAAGTGCTACAATGTGTAAACATCAGATAACATCAAGGCAAAAAGCAAGCACAAAGAACAGCCGAGAGGAGGAACAACTAGTTGGATAATGTCTCGGAAAGATCACGTCAAAACTTAAAATGCACAAAATGCAGATAAAATACTCAAATAAGAACTATGGGTGCAATAAAAAACAAAAGTACAATTCAATCAATTAAAAAACTGGGTAAAAAAAGTTTTAAGACCTTTTTTAAAACATGTCACGGTCTGTGGGGCCCTCAGATATGAAGGCAGGGCGTTCCACAGCCGAGGGGCTTTTTAATTATTTATGACATTAGTTCTGGAACAAGTAGCTTTAGCTCTGGAGCTAGTAGCATTACCTCCAGAGCTATTCAATATCAAGTTAGCTTCTGAGCTAGTAGCGTTAGCTCCAGAGCTATTCAATATCACATTAGCTTC